TCTACTCCCTAATTGGAAGAACTGTAATTGGTGGCTTCTCCAACGCAGTACGATCAGAACCCGACAGGACCAGACTATGACACATGAGACTGGGGCATGTAAGTGAAAAATGCTTACAGGAACTGTCCAGACAAAACCTGTTATGTGGAGATCAAGTCAGTAAACTGGAGTTTTGCGAACAATGTGTGTTGGGGAAGGCTACTAGAGTGAAGTTCTCTACCAGAACTCACACATCAAAGAAACCACTTGATTATGTACACAGTTATGGGGCCCAGCTAGAACTCAAACTCATGGAGGAGGGAGGTACTTCATGTCTATCATAAATTACTACACCAGGAATGTATGAATTTTTATCCTTAAAACCAAGAATGAAGCTTTTCAACGATTCAGGGATTGGTTAACCCTCACTGAAAACAAGATGGAAGCAAAACTGAAGCACTTGAGAACTGACAATGGCCTTGAGTACTGTTCAGAACAGTTCGATGAGTTATGCAGGAAGAATGACATTACGAGGCATAAGACAGTCTGGAGCACTCCTCAACAGAACAGCTTAGCGGAAAGGATGAATAGGACTATCTTAGAGAGAGTGAGGTGCATGCTTTTAAATGCCAGCCTACCCAAATCTTTTTGGGGTAAAACTGTGTCAACCGCTTGCTATCTTATCAATAAATGTCCATCGACAGCTATTCGAATGAAGACTCCTTTGGAGATGTGGTACGGGAAATCGGGTAACTATGAAAATCTCAAAATTTTTGGATGTATTGCATATGCTCATGTTAGACAGGATAAGCTGGAAGCAAGAGCTTTAAAGTGCATTTTCATTGGCTATCCACCTGGCACCAAAGGCTACAAACTGTGGTGTTTAGATCAACATAAATGCATCATCAGTAGAGGTGTGTTATTCAACGAGTCTAAAATGGCAAACATGCAAAGCTACGTTACCAAAAAAAGTGCTACTAAGGAGGATACTCCAATTGAGGTGGAGCTGCAACATCAACAAAACTTGATGGATCAAGGGACTTGCAAATAATCAAGATGAAGCGGCAGAAGACCAGCAAGAAACTGAACCAGAAAGCAGATCAAATGACTATAGTTTGGTGAGAGATAGGCAGAGAAGAACCATCAGACCACCAGAGAGATATGGTCATGCAGATTTGATCTCCTATGCATTGAGCGTCGCAAAAGAGATAGAAGAAGCAGAACCGAATAATTACAAGGATGCTCTAAAGAGCAAGGAAAGACACAAGTGGGTTGATGCTATGGATGAAGAGATAACTTCTCTGATGAAGAACAAGGCATGACAACTTGTGGATCGACCAAAGAACCAACGTGTCGTTGGTTGTAAGTTGACCTTCAAGAAGAAGGAAAGCATTCTAGGCAGCGAGGAGGTCATGTATAAAATAAGACCTGTAGCAAAGGGGTTCACAGAACGAATTGACTTCAACAAAATCTTCTCGCTTGTGATAAAGCACTGCTCGATCATGATAGTTTTAGCACTAGCGGTTCAATTCAATTTGGAATTAGAGCAGCTAGATGTTAAAACAACATTCCTACATAGGGAGTTAGAAG